ACTACTATTTTACTATACTACTACTACTACTACTTTACTCTACTACTACTATACACTCTATCTCTACTGCTAATACTACTACTACTACTATTCTGCTACTACTACTATTCTGCTACTACTACTATACTGCTACTACTACTTTACTGCTGCTACTACTACTGTACTCCTCCTCCTCCTCCTCTTCCTCTTCTACTACTGTTTCTACACTACTACTACTGCTACTATTCTACTAATACAACTACTACTACTACTACTACTACTCTCGCTACTACTTACTACTACTTCTACGCTACTACTACTTCCACACTACTGTGATAAAGTTGGGCTTGAGAGCAGGTGAATGAAAGGGGTCTTTGCTGTAGAGGGCTTATTGGGGAAGGTGGATGTGAAACCTCACGAGAGATCTATGCCCTGGGTGCCAAAGGGGAAGCGGTGACAAGCGAGACTGTCTGTCTGCCCTGTCTGCGTCTCTGTGCTCTGTTCAGCATCTGCCTTTTTCTCTCCCTGTCTGCGTCTCTGTGCTCTTGTTCTCCCTTGCTATCTTAGGAGACTTCCTTTTATGCAGCTATTCCTTGCAAGGGCATATGCTTGCTTACATTACAGAAATGTCCAGAGAGAAAGTAGAATGAACACCTGCGTCCATTGAAGGAGGAAGGGAACTGCCGGGGACAGAGGTGCGAAAGAGGGAACCATTTGGCCTTATGAGTATCATTGACTTCGCTTGGCCACGCTAAAGGCTCGTCCTTGAAACGTCTGCAACACCTTATGCACTGATGACAGGTCTGGTGGCAAGCTCTGCTAGGCATTAACCGATGGTAGCTGGTGATCCATGGTCACTAAGGGCTTCATGTGCCAGAGTAGCGGTGTTGCACCTCACTGAGGTGCAATATTCAGTAGGGTCACATCATCTTCAGGGGCTGAAATATAAGTGTACCAGGCCAGTAAAATGTCAAAAGAGGAGGAGGATAGATTACTTGTCAGTAACCTTACTAAGATGCCAGAAGAATGGAAGTGTAATGAGAACAAATGTCCTGTGTTTATTTAGCTGTTAGGATTAGCAAGTAGGATACAATCATATTTGGTAGAAAGAACAATTAAAGGGCAAGAATTCCATATCTTTGGGCTAGATAGGCAGATAATTATGCTTCGGACACATGTCCGGCCTTAACGGAAAGTAAAAGGTGCGCGTTTTAGGGACAACTCGTATAATTGTAACTGTGAGTAAATAAAAAATGTGCGGCAGGGCGTGATTCCTTCTTAGTAGGCTCTCCTGTGGCGGGTGTGATTCCAGTTTTTACTGCCATGAGCCTGCTTAAAGTTAATTTGTGATGATTACAATGTAAGGCTATATAAAGCATATGATGTCTGCAGTGCATTACCCTTATTGTAACAGAATTGACTCCATCAGTTAGTTACCTATTACATATTCATCAATACCTTAAAACTAAAGAAGCATAAATTCCAGCATTTTCAAGGACAAGATATTGAACATTGAGAGAACACATCATTAAAGCAAGATAGAGTCAGTTATAAAAGATATGGCACTTAGTACAATTCATAATCCTTTAGTGAATTCCTTGTAAAGGTGGATTAAGGTTTGGAACAGATATTTGACGTGTATGTGTGAATAAGGGAACAGTTACTGCCGCAAGTAGAAGTAAAGTGATGTTTCAAAAGAATACAACAATAAGTTTAAAATCAAAGAATGTAAGTGAAGACACAATCAGTAATGAAGTAATTACGAATACATATACTATATAAGAGAGAAAGAATGATAAGGTAAATGCATAATGAATAATATACACGGGGACAACCAAGCATTACAGTAATTGAATAAATTGAAGTGTGGTTATTTGCTCTGAGAAAAAATGCAACATACTAAATTGTGCAATGTGAGGACAACATAAATTACACAATGATATATCAATTACAGAATGGGCAGGGGAATGTGGTATGAGTTAAGGGTGTGTGTCACATGGTCTTGATGTGTGTGACTATTTGTGCCTTAAAACAATGATTAACAGAAATTTTGTAACAGATAGTATTGTGCATTCTTTAAGAAAAAGGCAACTTATATGCAAAGTGTGGGCAGGTTTAGGGAGGGCAATAATTAATCTGGCACTAAAGAGGTACACTTACTTTTGATAGTAGTGAGGAAGTATTTGTGGTATAGGGTAGAAATGCTACATCATGGATGTGCTGACAAGGGTTCATGAAGATTTGGTGAGGCAGGTGAGCCAGAGTGGCGAGTGTGGCAGCATAGAGAGCAAGGATATGTCTTCAGCGACTTTGTCAGAAGGGCAGCACAGGCATAAGTGGTCAGTACGAAGTAGCTGGGCAGACATGGTTTTTTAGAAGAGGAATTAGTAGCGATATCTGGGTGTTACGGGGTGCGAGGAGGCACTTGGCATGAGCTTATTTTGGTAACAGGAACGTTCATTGGCATTGTGAAATTCTTCCACCACTGGCCACCAGTTGTGATTAGGTTGGGTGTAGAGTA